CGGGGGACCTCGGCGCGCACCGCCCGGCGCAGCTGCAGCTCCGATTCAGCTGCGGGCTCTCCAGGTAGATCAGGGACGTCCCTGCGACCCAAAGGGGGTCGCCTCCACTCTCCAGCGACCCCAAGTGGGTCCCCGCCTCGCGGCTTTAGCAGCAAGCAAGCCGGTGCCCGGGAGGAGCCAGCGCCCCGGGCTGACCGGACGGTGCTGGGCGCACAGGGCAGAGAGCTGCCGCCCGCCCGCCCTGGGCTGCTCGAAGCCCCGCCCTCTGCCCGGCGGACCCGCCCACGCCCCGCCCCCTGCACGGCTGCCTGCCCGCTCAGGCCCCGCCCAGGTCAGGGAGGAGCGCGGCCGCGTTGCCTGGCAACCGCCCCCTACTCCGCCCGCCCCGAGTTCACCCCGGGCGAATGCCCTGGGCGCCTGTGGGCTGCGCTCTGCAGAGCGCAGGGAAACCCAAGGTGCGTATTTTTAAGCTGCCCACTTCCCCAGGGCTCGGGACAAGGCTTGTTTTGATTGGGTCACGGAGCCAGCCCCAAGGACTCGCACATCCTGGGGCGGCCCAAGCCTGGTCCTGTTCCCACCAAACACAGCAGGGACGCAGCCGCCCCTTGCGGCTCCCAGACCCAGAACCACGTCCTGAAGGGGCGCTGGAGGGGCGCAAAAAATAAAGGCAAGTGTTCCAAATTCCAGTGTGTTCTATGATTCATTCATTGTGAGTGGCTGTTATGTTTCCATTTGAAAAAGTCAAAAAGAGGCCAATCTGATACTTCGAATCTATTAAAATCCCCGGAATTTTCAACAAAGAGCATGGATTTTAAAAGTATAAAAAATGTCTGCGTGAACTCTGGGAAATTTTAAATATATATATATTCAAACACCGCATGGTGCCCACGCCATCTCCGGGACCCGACCGAGCAGGGCAGAACTGCCTCTGTGGGTTTCCAGAACCAGAACGGTAACTCTTTACAAGAGTAGAGAGCCTCGTCTTTCCCCCAGGAGCCACTGATGGTTTTGAACTGTTGACCTTGTGGTTAGCAGCCCACCGCCTGATCCTAAGCCACCAGGGGCGTCTCTTTTGGAAATTGTTGAAGCATAGAAAAGAAAAGGCTCATATCAAATATTTCATTTGATAATGGTAACAAAATCTTCATGAAGTGCTATTAAATATTAAATTTGAAATATTAAATTGAAAACTATTTTACTATTGGTTTATAAAAGGGCACCCAATCAATGCCTAACCCACTGCCATATAATTGATTCCGACTCCTGGTGTCCCTCTGTAGGGTTTCTGAGGCTGTAGATCAGCATAGCCTCTTCTCTCTGCCATTGCCCAGCTGGTGAATTTGAACCTCTGACCTCAGGGTTAGCGACCCAATATTTACTTGACCGGACCATAATCCAGGAATAAATTGAGGATTTTCTTTAAATCTCTTTGGAATGAGCACAAATATAACAAGCAATGCTGGGTTGTTGTTTGTTTTTTATAAAACTCTTACCTCAGAAAGTCATTTCGGCCAGCTTGGAAACCACTATTAACATTTAGATACAATACTTGGGCTCAAGAAAAAGGAAACAATATTCAAGTCTTTGAGAAAATATGGGGCACTCGGCAAAGTATTTTTCTTTCTTTTGTTTTTTTTTGTTTTTTTGGGGTTTTTTTTGTTTTTCTTTCTTTTTAACAATTTTATTAGCACTTTATCCACACGCCATGCAATTCAATAATTCAATCATCTCGAGAAGAATTGTACAAGTGTCACCATATTCAATTCTAGGAAAGTTTCTTCTTGACGTCACTGTTGTTCGTGTATTTTTTTTTCTAATTGGGACAAAACTATACACACCAGAACATTCTTCAATTCCAGGCAAGGTGAATTTCTTTGGAGTTGTACAGACGTGACCTAGTGAGGATGGAAATCCAGGTGCTGTGTTGTTAAGTGCCCTCCGGTAGGTTCTGACCCATAGTGACCCATGCACAGCAGAAGGAAACACTGCCGGCCCAGCGCCTTCCTCACAGCCCTGGCTCTGCTGGAGCCCAGTGTTGACCTCTGGACACACTCTTCCTCTTTGTCGCCGCTCCTCTAGTCTACCAAGTGTGATGTCCTTCGCCAGGGATGGGTCCCTCCTGACAACACATCCAAAGTGCGTGAGATGCTGCCTCCCCGTCCTCACTTCTCAGGAGCATTCTGGCAGTCCCTATTCGTAGTGAAATGACATGACTCGGCATGACGCTTCTATGGACCATCTCTGTAACGCCCACACAGCGATTGGGTGAGATCATGCAAATTGGGTGTGTGAAACTCTCACGGAGGGGATTAGTGGGTCGAACAGCGAGCCAACTCAGAAGCAGAAAGGATGGAGTCTCTTGACCATCAAGGAAGATGAGCCACCAGCAACGTATGCGTCTGAAGTGGTGGAGGCAGCAGCTGCGCCAGAGGCCACAGCACTAGTGCCGTGAGACAGAGCAGAGAAGCCGCCAAGATCACAAGAGAGAGTAGGCAGAGGCAGAGGCCAAGTGATGGTGTGACTGAGGGTTCGAGGACCAGCATGGCTGAGAAGAGGCTCTACAAACCAAAGAACTGCATCCTTAGCCTTTTGTAACCTACAATTCTATGTGGCCATTGTGGTGAGTTATCGAACCAGCAGAGAAGTCGAGTCAAGGGAGGCATGGCTGGTGTCAGCACAGGGTAAAGAGGGATGGGAGTTGGCAGCATGGCCAACCAATGTCTTGTGGCAATCGGCCTTGGGCTAGCGGGCAGTTGGATTCTCCTTCTCGCTTCTGAAGCCAGAGGGAGTCAGATGTGCCCGCACCCCACTTCCTCACTCTTCCAAGACAGATTGTTTTTTTCCTTGACTGCCTTTGGTAGTGTTAACCACTTCATGTTCTGTAGCCCCAAGGATATTCTGAATCCTTGATAACGGATTATATTTTATTTGTCTTGGTATCTCCTAGAATGCATAGCTGCTATGCGGTAGGGGTTCAATAAAACAAAGATACTACACCAGTACTTACAATGGTGTGCTTAAAAATGATTACAAATGCACAAAAAATGGAATTTAAAAACACAAAAACAGCTTCTAGAGGCAGGCACTATTTAGGCAGAACACCAATTTTTTTTAGTTGATTTTTATGACATTTTTCTGAAAGCAGGAATTCTTTTTAAGCCCAAAATTCTAAGCACGCTTCTAATAGCCGTGACAGCTCACAACTTTAGTCTGAGCTGATACTCCTGACCAGTTCTGAACTTTGGCTCTCAACAGACTCTTCCATTTGAAATTCAGGTATATTCTTTTTCCCCTACTGACTTTAAAAAATGAAGAAAACAGTGTTGCATTGTTCTTGGGCTCTTGAAAGCTAACAAGCCGCCATCCAAAGTACAATTCATTTCCATTCTTCTAAAGCAGCAGAGAAAAAGAGAACCCAGAATAGGAGAAGGAAATGGGATGTGCGTGTAATTGCTGCCGTCAATGAAGGCCTCCTTTGTCATGAGAACAGGAAAACTAGATGGTGCCCATCTAGCATTACTGAACAGTTTGATAAAAAACAAACCAAACACGCCGCCATCCAGTTAATGCCAACTCATAGCAACCCTATCGGACAGGGTAGAACTGCCCCCTGTGAGTTTCCAAAACTGTCACTCTTTGTGGGAGTGGAAAGCTCTGTCTTTCTCTCACACTGGCTGGTGGTTTTTGACTGCTGACCTTGCAGCTAGCAGCCCAACTACGTCGCCACATTCTATAGAAAGATCCTGGTCTACAGGGGCACCATACAGAATAGAACTTAACATTCTCATAACGACTCCTACCGAACATGAACAACAGCTCCTGTGGATTCCCAGTGCTGTAACTCTTTCTACAGGAGTAGAAAGCCTCATCTTTCTCTCTTGGAGCAGTTGCTGGCACAGTGGGCTAGGTCTTGGTCTGCAAACTACCAGGTCAGCAGTTTGAAACCACCAGCTGCTCCTTGGAGAAAAATGAGACTTCCCGACTTTCTGTTCCCGTAAAGACTTACAGCCTCGGAAACCCACAAAGGACAATTTTCTCTGTCCTACAGGGTCACAATGAGTCAGTGAATTTGGATTTGCTGAATAGCATTCATCACATAAACTTGTGGTGACCCTTCCAAAAAGGGCCAAACTCCCAACCATTGGGTCAAGGTCAACTCACAGTGACCCTATAGGACAGGGTAGAACGGCTCCTGTGACTAGTCTTCATGGGAGTAGAACACCCCATCTTGCCCCTGCTGAGGGGCTGGCGGTTTCCAACTGCTGGCCTTGTGGATCCCAGCCCCATGCTTAACCACGATGCCACCAGGGCTGCTTGGGAACCTTAGGTGAGCTCAGATAGAAGTTTGCTCCTGAAAGCGTGTTTGATAAACAGTAAGTCGTTATTTCCGTGTTGGACTCAGAGTTAAGCCTCACGGGACTAATTCACAGTCATACTCTTCCCCCCACCCTTCCCGGCCGGCCGGCCCGTTTAGTAGCCATCAATCTCCTCAAGTGTTGCAACACTGACTCTTCTTTTAGATTCTGCTTTCTGCATACGTCCACAGAAGGTAAGGGCTCTTTCAGCATTATTGGAAAACTAATGGGAATTGCAGCCCCAGCGGCCTGGAGTGTCCGTATGATTTTGTAAATCCTTGCCTAGTAGGCATCCTCGTGGAAACCAGGAACCAGCAAGCCGTTCTGAGACTTTGCCCCCCACCCCCACCCCCACCCCACCATGGGCTTTCCACGGCTCTCTTTGCTGTTAGAACAGAACTCACATGTTTATGGGTTTTGCTTATCTAATTTGTTCGGCCAAATAAGCCCCTAGCGTGATGGAAAAACAAAAGAAGATGGGGCCAGTTGTCGACAGAGCTGTCGATGGGCTGGTTCTGGGGTTTTTAAAAATCATTTCATTGGGGGCTCGTACAACTCTTATCACAATCCATACACACATCCATCGTGTCAAGCACATTTGTACCTTTGTTGCCATCATCATTCTCAAAACATTTGCTTTCTACTTGTGCCTTTGGTATCAGCTCCTCATTTCCCCTCCCTCCTCACCCCTCCCTCCTTCACGAACCCTTGATAATTTATAAATCATTATTATTTTGTCATGTCTTACATTGTCCAATGTCTCCCTTCACCCACTTTTCTGCTGTCCATCCCCCTGGGAGGGG